TCACGGTTTAGGGTTTGGGGCTTTGGGGTTTAGGGCTTGAGGGTTTAGGGCTTTAGGGTTTAGGGCGTAGGGTTTAAACTTGGGAGGGCGACTCTTCAATAGGTGTTTGTATAGTTCTTCAATATTATGAGTCTGTATTTTTTGGGGCTTCTGCGGCAAACGTATTCGTATATATAACAGAGCAAAGCCTGACGTGCTACATCCACTCCTCACGTAGACAATATATGAGGATAAGATAACCATGGATTTTAAAGCCTGCATATTATCCCCCTCATTGTGATCGGCGATGTGTTAGATGTAAAGAATGGGAAATTATCTAGTGTATTTTCAACGATATCATTATGCTAAAGCAGGTAGGTATTTAATGAAGTATAAATGCACGGTGACTTGTTGTGAATGTCCGGATGCCATGAGGGAAGGCAACAAGAAAAGGAAAAGCGAGTTGAGTATAATGTAAGCACGGTAGCTGGTTATTCCAATACTGGTATTGGTAATGGGGAAGTAGTGGTGATATAAATGGTGAGATGCAGGGGGGAGTATAGGCAGGAATAATCATCTAATGGGTTGACTGGTGGTATTATTTCCCAAAATGGGCAAGGGTTCTGCTGACTGAAAGTACTTCCAAACAAAGAAATGGTGGTTATGTACCAGGGGTGTACTGAAAGGGTCATGGGAATTAGTAAACACGATTACGCCAATGAATCCTACCCCCTCAAAAGACAAAACAGCTTAGGGGGTATGGGTAAAATGCATGGACAGCCACCCACATGAGCAGGTGGAGGTGCCCCGGCCTGTGGTGGTTGAGAAGACGATCCAGGCTCGGGAACTGACGCCTCCGTTCATTTGACTTTAAGGGCCAAAGCGTAGGGCTTTGAGTTGAGGGTTTGGGGATGTTTAGGATCTGGGCAGTAACCAGAAGAATTCTAAGCCGGAGGGGTGCCGCACATGCTGAAGTGTTCAATTGAGATTTCACCTAATTAATCTTACTTGTTTCTGCCCTGTTGCCAGCAGGAGGTTAACTAGTTTCTTATACTGTTTAGCGTTTAGGTTTAAATCCCAAAACCCTAAGCCCTAAACCCTAGACCCTAATCCCCAAAACCAAGACCCTAATCCCTAAACCCTAAACCAAACTTTTTTTGGGAGTTTCACGGTGGAGTTCGAGTCACCAGCGCGGCCTTTCAGGTGCCCCGAATCTCGGTGGAGGAGAAAGTCGTGCGGGTGCCGAAGGCGCCTGGAGGGAGACGACTCACCAGTGTGTCTCACCCTATCGGGGTTCCGGTTGAGGGTTCAGGGTTTGGGATTTGGGGTTTAGGTTTGGGCTTCAGGGTTTAGCGGTTTTGTGGTTTAGGGTTCAGGGTTAAGTGTTCGGGGTTCAGGGTCATGATTCTTCTGTGTCTGACTAACCCTAAACCCTAAAAGGGCGCAGGGGACCGGCGGTTCTTTTGAGTTCAGGCTTCCGGTTTAGAGCGCTTTGGATTTGGATCATTGGGGTTGGGCAGTTTTTTTGCCAAGGCTTTCGGTTTTCGCCGACGTAGCTATCAACTACATATCCACAGCTAATGGGAAGCAGATACCCTGAACCCGAAGATTCGCGGAACTGTGCGGGGTAAGCCTAATCTAAGCGAATCTAAACCCGCACCCTGAACCTCAAAGCGTAGAAAACCTTTCTACAGGCCTGTGAGTCCTTTCCCTAACGAACCTGAAATCAATCCTCCCCTAAACCGTGAACCCGAAACCCAGCAGCCTAGCAGGGGTTTAGGGTTTTGGGCTAAGGTCTGCAGGATTAGATTCGGCAATCAGCATTTGTGCCGCTATGGACCGGAGAAAGTGCGCTTACCCCAAACCCTAAACCCCAAGCCCTAAATCCTAAACCCTAAACCCTAACCGTGCGGCCCAAAAGATAAGGTGCTTAACACCGTGGTGGACACTGTGGTCCAGAACACCCTCGAGACTGTCGAGGTAGTGAAGCCGGTGGTGGTCCCCACCTCAGATTCGGGTAGGTTTAGGGTGTAGGGTAAGCGCACCCTAAACCCGAAACCCCAAGAATTTTGCAGGGTTTCTTCGAGAGGGTTTAAGGATTGGGGGATGATGGGGTCTGGAGGGGTCTCAGCGATTTACGGGATAGAGCTGTGGGATCTAGAGCTTTAGAATTTCTATGAGATCTAGAGCTTTAAGATTTCAAGATTAGGGTATATCTCTCTTTCTGGGTTTAGGGTTTTAGGGATTGGGAAGAAGGGGTTCAGGGTTTCGAGCCGTGGGATCCGGACAAGGTTTAGGAGTCGTGACTGAAAGCCCTGAACCGTAAACCCTAAAGTCTCAACCCTAAACCCTAAAGTCCTGACCATCAACCCTAAAGCCCTCAAGACCCGACGCCAGTACCAGACCTTTTGAGGACCGAAAAAGAGCCAAAGCCGTGGCAGCTGCATACAGGTACCGTGGGCAACACTAGCAGCATGGTCAGGTTTGCACAACGGTGTGGCCAACTCTTGCACTATTCGCGAATTCCCAACGAAGCCCAGGCACGAGGGACGCACTTCTTGGCGGCCACCGCCGAGACAAAGGGCGTATCACACAGCACAACACCAAAACACAGCTGCCTCTACCGGGCCCGGCAGCCACTGCCTTCGCGCTCAGTGATATGTGGCACGCAATGAGGGTCGGACACGGCCGTCGAAGTTTCGCATTCTCAATTCCAAGTTGTCAACACGAGCGGAGATTCGCTACAGGGGTTCAAGCTCAAGCCAGGGTCGTGAGGATGTTGCAGCCAGAGCACACTGCTTAAACACCGCCGTGCCCAACTCGCTCACTCTAAAGCTCTACGCCTGAAGGCAAAGGAGTGCCACATCAATGTTGTATGGATGCCTGATGAAGTGTCGGAGTTTCAAGATGAACCACACTGGCGCGATCGCCAACGAATTCAGAAAAGACTGTTACATAATCGTGATGCTCTTGATAAGGGCAAGCATTCTGTGTTACCTCATGGTGAGGGTGAACCTGCTGTGCCGAGAGTGTCGGCGCAGCAATGCCTCTTTGAGTAAGTTCTTGCGAGAGTCCTGTGGAGGCAGTGTTGACAAGGATGCTCTGCCCTCTAATCCCCGTGCAGCTCGTGATAGTGTCGATTGCAGAAGCGCGTGAAACTTGTTAATGATCATAATTTGAACTGCGGTGACAAGCATCGCCTTTGTGTGCCGACTCGCGTAAGCGATGAGCCCAAATGTGCTGATAGTGGTGCTATGCATGTCCACGGTTGGAGACCTTTCGGCAAGCTGATAAGCAAGTCTGCCCTATGTCCCTGAAGCTGCATTTTTTCTGGCCAGCAGCGCCCGAGATTACACTGTGCCTGTCAAGGACCGCCGCATCTCAATGGGCATGTGTTCATCCTCTGCGTTGGGTCTGTTGGCGGCTTCTTGCTTTTGAGGGGTTTCTTTCGGGTTCGGGTTTTCTTGATCGATGGACGTGTGCTCGTGGCTTGCCTCTCGTCTCGCGTTCTTCGGCCTTCGGCTTGTTAGGTGGTCTTTGGGTGATTCTTTATCGGTTGGTTACCTGCCAGCATCTGCGAAGGTCGCGTTATGAGTCCTTTTCGTGCGTGCATCACTGTGTGTGTAGCCGGGCCCTCGCCCGCAACCTAAGGTGCGTGCCCCGTGTTCGTGTGTGCATTTCCCCATGGTGGATTGTACAAAGGAGTGCCACATCATTATCGACGGCCACGTCTGGACGGGTCGCTTCGTGGTCTGGCGCTACCCTGTAATGCCGGCCGCCGACATGGAAGTCTGGACAGCGACGCCTGGTAAACGTTTTTACGATAAAACCACAAGTGCTTTCCTAGTAAGTATCACGCCGCGGCCCAGTAGATTTACAATGTAAGAAGCACGTCCTCCGTCAGCAAGCCGCTTCCAGACTCTGCCAAGTACATTCCCGACAACTGCGTCATCTGCAGCCGGGACTGTGGAGGCATTGCAGCGGCGGAAGAAATTTGCAGGCGAGCAGAGGATCGACGTTTCGCCACTAGTACTTTCGGAAACATAAATGATGTCGCAGTGTCATTATGCAACCGTGCAGTTGTGCTGCCCAGGCGTCGTCAAGTTATAGGAGACGGAGAGACTACGACGGACTTTATCCAGGTATCAGCCTGGGTGGAGCTACTGGATTTCATGCCCCCTCGGAGATGGACGTCCAGCGATGAAAAAAGCTTGGGGAAGCACACAAGCTCTCGGATTTGTCATGGTTTAAGACGCGAATGCTTGTTTGTGCCACGCTGAGGCAAGCCCGCGACGACATACTCGCATCCCTCCCGGCAAGGACTCCGTCTCGCCTCACCTCCATAGGGAGCTACAGGCAGTTTTGTTCGACAATAAAGACAAGACGGGTGCGAGGTCTGGCATGCGCGATGGCCGAACGTGCACAGGATGCAGCCTTTCGGCCTCTGGACCCCGGCCAAACTCGCCAAAGTGGCCCCCATGGCTTACGACGCGCCGAAGAAATTCGACGCATCGCAAATTCTTGCATTGAGCACACGCATGCCAGCATAAATTGCCAGGCCTCTCGCTGCACCTCAGCGAAGTAAATCCGTCCCCTTGGCTGCAGCGCAAAGTGCTGGGCCCATGCTAGCACATGTAAAAGCATCAGGCCCGTTGATTGTTGCCGCGTCAGCCGTGCGGCGGCCGAAAGCAATCAACTCTTGGTCGTACCCCTTGGAGTGCCAGCTGAAGTACTAAAGAGAGATGCTGCAGGACCGACGCACTAACAAATGCATGAATAATCGCTGTTTCCATTCTGAGCCCCAAATCACAGTGGCCCTCTCATAGATCATTATCGTACGGGGGCAATACCCAAGGTTTAGGGTTTAATACAAGGGGGTTTAGGGTTTATAATCATCCGAAGTCATGTGCCAAATCGATGGCATGCACTGCAGCTGCGGTCCAGGACTCATGAATCTTTTGCTCCTATTCTCGGTGATGGATCCGTGCAGACTTCTGGAGGTACCGAATACTCGGGAGGTTTGCAGTAGGTCTTTGAGGTGGGTCTGTATAAAGCACCTGTGGATTGGTTGTCCTCAAAATCCCCCCAAATCCCAAACCAGTACTACGTTTATGGTTGCTTAGTCTAGGGTTTGCATGGGGTCTTGCCGGTGGGTCTTTTGCTCGCCCCCATATCCCCACCAGGTCTGAATCCGTAAATGCTTCATCCATGAACGACTAAGCCTCAACTTCCGAAGCCGTAAACCCCCGAATTCGAAACAAAAGCTGCTGAAGCCTAAGCTTTGAAGTAACAACCCCGAAGTCCGAAACAAAAGGCCAGCCCTAGCCCCAGCAACTAACGGATGCGATAGATCACAGGAAGAGCAGCCATGAAAGTCATAGCATGTCTGGTAAAGTAAGTAAACAAAGACCCAAAATCCCCCTAAACCCTACATCCTACGGTTGATGATATAAATCCTGCATTACCCATAATAAGGAATATACCATAACTCCCATAGTTTAGGGTCTTTAAGGTAATGCAGGATTTGTATCATCAAGAAGGACGTTAACGCATGATCCCACAAACCCCCAACATCCTAAGTTCTAGCTCTGTAGCCCTCAAGCCAAGAGCCCAAAGCTTTATTACACCACCAAGCCATGAAACCCTGAATCGCCGAATCGCCCTGTCATCAAGTCTGCCATACCAGGTAAAACCCGATTCTAAAACCTTTATAGACTAGGTGCCCCAGTAGTACCCTTTTGCCTTTTTTGGGTTATGAAAACCGAACAATAGGAAAAAGGGTACCCTTATTATTCGGGGGCTACTGGCGAACCGAGTAGATCCAATGTAGAGCCTTTTTGTTTTGAGTCCCCCTGGACCCCCCAAGCAGCAAGGTGCACAAGGTGGTGCAGCGAAAGAAGCCCGTCATCCAGGAGGATCCACGTGGGTTTAGGAGTTTTGTAGTTTTTACAACGGGTTCCCTGGTTCCCTACAAAGGCTCCGTAAGAGGTTCCTGGGGTTCGAGGAGGGTTTTTGCATTTGCATTCAATGGGTTGGATATGTAAGTCGTGGGGCTTAGGCTTTAGTTATTTTGTAGGGTTTGGGTTTAGGGATCTGCGGTTTTAGGGTTCGCGATATAGGCTTTTCGGGTTTAGGCTTTAGGTGTTCTGCTGTTGACGGATGGGGCTTGAGATTTGGGGTTAGGGTTTAGGGTTAATGCGACACACAGGTTTTACACGGCTTAACAACGGGTTAAGAAACATAGTATAGGAGTCATAATCAGTTATGATGGAATAGCTCCCACACTCCCCTCTGCGCCCGGCTTTGTGACGCTAAATCCGTAACGTTTGTCGTTAGGAATGTTACGTGATGAGATCAGCAATAAGAGCCGCGACAAATCAGACACATATTTGCGGCGCTTGGTACTGCTTTGAAGAACATTCGTACTAGTTACGAGTAATACGGAGCTGGGGCTCGTGACAGCAAGACAGATGTGCTAGCACGAACAGGTTCGTGTTTGTTATCATCAGGGCAACATGCAACCTGTTTGAATCTCTCAGGTGCTTCGTACCTATACCCCAAACTTCCTAAGCCTTAAACCCCCTAAACCCTCAACCTAACGAAGCAGACGGCCAGGACATTGTGCAGGTGCCAAAGGCCCGAGCCTGCGAGGGCATTGCGCGGTCTCTCACAGAAGACTGCTGTTGCTCCCCTCGGTCTGGCTTTTGGGGTTCTCAGTTCGGCATTTAGGTCCAAGCCCTGAACTCTGAAAGGCCGTAGCCGGCACTCTGCGTAGGGGCTCCTTCTTCTTGCGTTCGAAGGTTCAGGTTTGGGTTCTGTTCTGGCAGGTCGTCGTTCAGCACGTGCCGGTGGAGAAGGTTGTGGAGAAGCAGGCGGCGAACTTTCAACGACACCCTCAAACTACCAAGCGTTACCATTAATGTAAGCCGCAAACCTCAAATCCGAAATCTTGGGCAATGTGGAGAGGCCAGAGGGGAAGGGGTTTAGGGCAAACGGTTCTTGACTGATAACAGCAGGCAGTTCTGTTGGATTCGCTGTATATATATATATATCATGTCATGTATCCTTCTCACTTATTTCAGGCCTGGTCCATGGCCCTTCAAGTGTCCATGTGTTTTTTTTCAAAGAGCGAGGGTTCAAGATCCTCTCTGGATCATACACCCTGACATCCTCGAGCACCGAGCCCTCAAGCTCAAGCTTCGTGTTTGCGATGCAAGCACCAGAAGCCATCATGTTTTCAGCCATCAGCCGGTAAGACTTTTGCAGTGGCGCAAATCTTGCTGCCCCCCCCCCCCAATTTCCATGCAGCCCAGCACCCAAATCAACCAAGCAATAAAACACATATTGAAACCCTAAACCCTAAACTTATATCTATATCTATATCTATAT